CTCATGCCCGTAATCCCAGCATTTTGGGAGGGCGAGGCAGGCGAATCACCTGAAGTCAGAAATTTGAGAGCAGCCTGGTCATCATGGCAAAAATCTGTCTCTACTGAAAATATAAGAAATTATCCAGGCATGGTGGCTCATGCCCGTAATCCCAGCATTTTGGGAGGGCGAGGCAGGCGGATCACCTGAAGTCAGAAATTCGAGACCAGCCTGGTCAGCATGGCAAAAGTCTGTCTCTACTAAAAATACAAAAAATTATCCGGGCATGGTGGCGCATGCCTGTAGTCCCAGCTATTTGGGAGGCTGAGGCAGGAGAATGGCTTGAACCCAGGAGGTGGAGGTTGCAGTGAGCTGAGATTGCACTGTTGCTCTCCAGCCCAGGGTGACTCTGTCTCTAAACAAGAAAACAAATGAGAACTCGGAGGCTCAGCGAGGTTAGAGACTTGCCTGAGGCGCACAACTAGAAAGTAGAAAAATTTGATTTTGAATCCAGGCTGGTCAGACTATAGAGCTCACACTCTTGCCATGTTGCCAGGCTGGTTTTTTCTTTGTTTGCTTTAACTTTTTTTTTTTTTTTTTTTTTTTTTTTTTTAAAGAAATAGGATCTTGTTATGTTGCCCAGGTTGTTCTCAAACTCCTGGGCTCAAGCAATCCTCTTACCTCAGCTTCTCAAGCAGCTGAAACAACAGGCACGTGCCATCAAGCCAAGCTTCTTTAACGTTTTTTTAAAAAATTACTTAGAGTTGTAAACATTTTAAAGGATATAATTCAGTGGCATTTAGTACATTCAGAGTGTTGTGACACCGTCATCTCTATCTAGTTTGAAACATTTTCATCGCTCTCCAAGGGAGCCTCTGTTTCCATTAAGCATTTTCCTCTCCTCTTAGCCCCTGGGAACCATTTACTTTCTGTTTCTGTAAATATATCTATGCAGGATATTTTATATAAATGGAATTATACAATATGTGGCCTTTTGTGTCTGGTGTCTTTTACTTAGTATAATGTTTTCTTTTTTTTTTTCAAGACGGAGTCTCACTCTGTCGCCCAGGCTGGAGTGCAGTGGCACAATCTCGGGTCACTACAACTTCCGCCTCCCGGGTTCAAGTGATTCTCCTGCCTCAGCCTCCTGAGTAGCTGGGATTACAAGTGTGGTGCCACCACACCCGGCTTATTTTTGTATTTTTAGTAGAGATGGGGGTCTCACCGTGTTGACCAGCCTGGTCTCGAACTCCTGACCTCAGATGATCTGCCCGCCTCGGCCTCCCAAAGTGCTGGGATTACAGGTGTGAGCCACCACGCCCAGCCAGAATAATGTTTTTAAGGTCCATCCGTGTTGTAGCATGAATCAGTACTTCCTTTCTCTTTATGACTGGATACTATTCCATTGTATGATTATGCCACATTTTCTGGACCCATTTATCAGATTAAATGGGTTTCCATCGTTTAAGCTGTTTCCACCTTTTGGCTGTTAAGAACAGTGCTGCTATGAACATTTGTGTACAAGTATTTGTTTGAGTCTTTGTTTCTCTTTCTTTCTTTCTTTTTCTTTCTTTCTTTCTTTCTCTCTCTCTCTCTCTCTTTCTTTCTCTCTCTCTCTTTCTTTCTTTCTTTCTCTTTCTTTCTTTCTTTCTCTTTCTTTCTTTCTTTCTCTCTCTCTCTCTCTCTCTCTCTCTCTTTCTTTCTTTCTTTCTTTATTTTTTGAGACAAAGTGACAAAGTTGCTCTGTTGCCCAAGCTAGAGTATAGTGGCCCAATCTTGGCTCACTGCAACCTCTGCCTCCAGGGTTCAAACAATTCTCATGCCTCAACCTCCCCAGTAGCTGAGACTACAGGTGCGCGCCACCACACCTGGCTAAGTTTTTTGGATTTTTTAGTAGAGACGGGATTTCACCATGTTGGTCAGGTTGATTTCGAACCTTGACCTCAAGCAATCCGCCTGCCTCGGCCTCCCAAAGTGCTGGGATTAGAGGCCCAGCAGAGTCTTTGTTATCAATTCTTTTTTTTTTTTTTGAGACGGAGTCTCACTCTGTCGCCCAGGCTGGAGTGAAGTGGTGCGATCTCGTTTCACTGCAATCTCTGCCACCTGGGTTCAAGTGATTCTCCTGTCCCAGCCTCCCGAGTAGCTGGGATTGAAGGCGCCTGCCACCACGCCTGGCTAATTTTTTTGTAATTTTACTAGAGACGGGGTTTCAGTATCTTGGCCAGGCTGATCTTGAAATCACGACTTCGTGATCCACCTGCCTTGGCCTCCCAAAGTGCTGGGATTACAGGTGTGAGCCACTGCGCCCAGCCTGTTTTCAGTGTTTTTGGATATATACCTAGGATTGGAATTGCAAGGCCATATGGTAATTGTATGTTTAACCTTTGGAGGAACTGCCAAACTGTGTTCCACTGTGGCTGCCTTATTTCACATTCCCAGCAATGCACGGGGCTTTTAATCTCTCCACCAACATCTGTTATTTCCTCTCTCTCTTTTTAAAATTATAGCCATTTTAGTGGGTATGAACTGATATCTTATGGTGGCTTCAATCTACATTTTCCTAACGACTTGTAATGTTGAACATTTTTTTTTTTTTTTTTTTGAGATGGAGTCTCGCTCTATCACCCAGGCTGGAGTGCAGTGGCACGATCTCAGCTCACCGCAACCTCCTCCTCCTGGGTTCAAGAAACCTCGCAAGTAGTTGGGATTACAGGCACATGCTACCATGCCCAGCTAATTTTTGTATTTTTAGTAGATATAGAGTTTTTCTTTTTTTTTTTTTTTGAGGCGAAGTCTGGCTCTGTCACCCAGGCTGGAGTGCAGTGGCGCGATCTCGGCTCACTGCAACCTCCGCCTCCCGGGTTCACACCATTCTCCTGCCTCAGCCTCTCGAGTAGCTGGGACTACAGGCGCCCACCACCACGCCCGGGTAATTTTTTGTATTTTTAGTAGAAATGGGGTTTCTAAAACCGTGTTTGCCAGGATGGTCTCGATCTCCTGACCTTGTGATCTGCCGGCCTCGGCCTCCCAAAGTGGTGGGATTACAGGCGTGAGCCACCGCGCCCAGCCATGTAGTGTCACTATGTTGGCCAGGCTGGTCTCGACCTCCTGACCTTGTGATCCACCCACCTGAGCCTCCTAAAGTGCTGGGATTACAGGCGTGAGCTACTGTGCCTGGCCTGAACATCTTTTTATGTGCTTGTTGGTCATCTGTATATCTTCAGATAAATGTCTGTTCAACTCCTCGCCCCAGTTTTGTTCCCCTGATTTTTTTTTTTTTTTCAGGGGTGGAGTCTTGCTCTGTTGTCCAAGCTGGAGTGCAGTGGCACGATCATAGCTCACTGCGGCCTCAACCTCCCAGGCTGAAGTGATCCTTCCACCTCAGCCTCCAGAGTAGCTGGGACTACAAGTCCATGCCACTATGCTTGGCTCTTCACCCATTTTTAAATTGGTTTTGTCATTTTATGGTTTAACTTTTTGTTTAGACATAATTTATAACGTATAGAAAGTTTATCATATAGTACAAAGAAACCCTTATAACCTTTACCCAGATTCATCTATTATTAATTTGCCCCATTTGCTTTCTTACTATATGTATCTAATATTTTTTCCTGAACCGTTTGAGAGTGAGTGGCATACATCATGGCCCTGTGCCCCTAGATACTTCAGATAAGGATATTTATTTATTTACTTACATAACCGTAGTTCACAGACGCTGATATGCTATTTTTTTCTGATCCAATTTTATCAATTGATCCAGTACAGGAGCGAGGCTGGGATCCTGTGCTACCCTTAATTGTCTTATTATCTTGTCTCTTTTGTCTCCTTCAATCCAAAACGGTCCCCCTTTCTTCCTTCCTTCCTTCCTTCCTTCCTTCCTTCCTTCCTTCCTTCCTTCCTTCCTTCCTTATTTTTCTTTCTTTCTTTCCTCTTTCCTCTTTTTTTTGGACGTAGTTTTGCTCTTATTGACCAGGCTGGAGTATAATGGCACAATCTTGGCTCACCGCTACCTCCGCTGACTGGGTTCAAGTGATTCTCCTGCCTCAGCCTCCCGAGTAGCTGGGATTACAGGCAGGCAACACCATGCACAGTTAATTTTGTATTTTTAGTAGAGACGAGGTTTCTCCACGTTGGTCAGGCTGGTCTCGAACTCCCGACCTCAGGTGATCCACCCGCCTTGGCTTCCCAAAGTGCTGGGATAACAGGCACGAGCCACCGCGCCTGGTTCCCTCAGTGACTCTGACGTTTTCGAATATACAGTCCCTTTAAATAAATAGTGTTTCTCAATTTGGGCTCGTCTGATGTTTTTTCATTTTAAAAATTTAAAAAAAATTTGTTTTTGAGACGGGGTCTTGCTTTGTCACCCAGCCTGGAGTGCAGTGGCGTGAACATGGCTCACTGCAGCCTCGACTTCCCAGGCTAAGGCGATCATTCCTGCCGCAGCCTCCCAAGTAACTGGGACCTGCACGCCACCACACCCGGCTATTTTTTTTTAATTATTTATTTATTTTTTTTGTATTTTTGTAGCAATGGGGTTTCGCCATGTTGCCCAGGCTGGTCACAAACTTCTGGGCTTGGATGATCCTCCTGCCTTGGCCTCCCAGTGTTAGGATTACAGGCGTGAGCCACCGGGCCCGGCTGATGTCTTCTCACGATGAGATTCCGGTTGTGTCTTCCTGGCTGGAATGCTGTATAGATGATGCTGTGGCGTGTGAAGACCTTCACATCTGGAGGCACACGACACCCTCCTGCCTCTCACAGGTGATTTATTGTAACCCCTCGGTCAAGATGTCTGATTCCTCTACTGTATAGTTACTCTTTTTCCTCTTGTTACTAATAAGCAATCTATCAAGAGACGCTTTGTGACCGTGCCGACGCCCTGCCCCTCACTGAGGACTTCCCAGCCCCAACCGATGAGTTCTGCTCACAGACTGTCTTCTTGTAGGCAGCCTCCTCTGCTACGTTTGTTTCTCCGGGAACGACCTTAGATCCTGGGTAGGTGCTCGCCTTGCCTGGCAGTCAAGTGCAATGCTGCTGTCTTGGCCAATGCCTAGCCTTCCTCCTTTGCCCCCGGCTTCAAGGCATTGGTTCACAGTCCTGTATGGGCAGCCAGACCGTCTCACAGTGAGCAGCCCTCTGGGAGGTTCGTCTCATTTCCTGCCCTGGAAGCTTTGCTTCCTCACTGCAGCCACTGAAGCTGCAGGCTGGATCGAGGGGACCACAGAGTTGTCCAGTCCCCCAGGGTAGGGGTGCCAGGAGCCCTTCTCCTCCGTAGCAGGTCTCGGAGGCTGATGATGGGGAAATCGCACTGGTGAGACTGCCGTGGGCTCAGGGGGAACCTGCGATAAGATGCCCAACAGTTAAGGCAGCTGCTTTGAGGTTTGGAGCCTGAGAACCCACAGGAAGTGACTTGGTGCTGAGCTGCTGTTGCTTCGTCCTGGTGCCGGTCTCAGGCCAGGAGCTGCAGGCTGGCATGGCTGGGGGCATGTCAGCAGAGTGCCCTGAGCCTGGGCCAGGAGGGCCACAGGGCCAGTGCCTAGGGCCAGGCAGGCAGTGTCCCCCTCCCATCACGCCCGCCCCCTGGAGCCTGCCCCGGTGGAGGGCCTACGTGGCTGCCGCCATGCTCTGCTACATCAACCTTCTGAACTACATGAACTGGTTCATCATCGCAGGTGAGGAGGGGACGGCCACCCTGGGCAGCACCTGCTGTTCTGCCCGCCAGCCAGGGGCTGCAGATCCACAGTGGCCTTCCAGCCATCACCCATCTTTCTGTTCCCGGCCCTGTCTCTGGTGTTCTCCCCTCTAGAGGTGGTTTTCAGCTCTGCCCGAATCGGGGAGGACCAACTGACATTCCTAATCCAGCCTCAGTTAAAGAGGGGCACAGGCTGGGCATGGTGGCTCCCACTTGTAGTTCCAGAGCTTTGGGAGGCTGAGGAAGATTGCTTGAGCCCAGGAGTTTGAGACCAACCTGGACAACATAGTGAGGCTCTGTCTCTCTCTTTTTTTTTCAGACAGAGTCTCGCTCTGTCGCCCAGGCTGGAGTGCAGTGGTGCAATCTCAGCTCACTGCAACCTCTGCCTCCCGGGTTCAAGTGATTCTCCTGCCTCAGCCTCCTGAGTCGCTGAGATTACAGGCATGCACAACCATGTCTGGTTAATTTTTGTATTTTAAATAGAGGAGTAGAGACAGGGTTTTACCATGTTAGTTAGGCTGGTCTTGAACTCCTGACATCAGGTGATCCGCCTGCCTCGGCCTCCCAAAGTGCTGGGATTACAGGCGTGAGCCACTGCACCTGGCCTTTTTTTTTTTTTTCTCGAGATGGAGTCTCGCTGTGTCGCCCAGGCTGGAGTGCGGTGGCATGATCTTGGCTCACTGCAACCTCTGCCTCCCGGGTTCAAGAGATTCCTATTTCAGCCTCCCGAGTAGCTGGGACTACAGGCGCACACCACCATGCCAGGCTAGTTTTTGTATTTTTAGTAGAGATGGGGTTTTGCCGTGTATGCCAGGCTGTCTCAAAGTCCAGACCTCAGGTGATCCGCCCGTCTCAGCCTCCCAAAGGGCAGGGATTACAGGCGTGAGCCACCGCACCTGGCCAAGACTCTGTCTCTATTTAAAAAATTAAAACTATTTTAGGGCTGGGTGCAGTGGCTCACACCTGTAATCCCAGCACTGTGGGTGGCCAAAGTGGGCAGATCACTTGAGGTGAGGAGTTTGTGACCAGCCTGGGCAACATGGTGAAACCCCGTCTCTACTAAAACTATAAAAATTAGCTGAGCGTGGTAGCGGGCGCCTGTGATCTCAGCTACTGTGGAGGCTGAGGTAGAGAATTGATTGAACCCGGGAGGTGGATGTTGCAGTGAGCCAAGATTCCACCATTGCACTCCAGTCTGGGTGACAGAGCAAGACTCTGTCTCAAAAAAATATATATATATATATATTTTTTAAATTAAGAGAGGGCACAGTGGGGGTGGAGCCAGAGGCATAATGAGGGGTGGGTTGGTGAGGATAGCAGGGAGGACTTCCAGGCAGACACCGCGAGGTTCTGGGTGGAGGACAGGGTAGCCTGGCCCAGACAAGAATAGCTCCTGCTGGCTGCGTTTCTAGGACAACAGGCTGCTCGCAAACCTTGCACATTCTGCCTGCCTTCTTGCAGGCCTCAGGGCTCAGCCTGCTTCTGTCTTCTGTCACTCATTCACTCACTCACTCACTCACTCACTCACTCATTCATTCATTCAAGACTGATCGGGGGCTGGGCACGGTGGCTCACGCCTGTAATCCCAGCACTTTGGGAGGCTGAGGTGGGTGGATCACCTGAGGTTAGGAGTTCGAGACCAGCCTGGCCGACATAGTGAAACCTTGTCTCTGCTAAAAACACAAAAATTAGCCAGGTGTGGTGGCGGGTGCCTGTAATCACAGCTACTTGGGAGGCTGAGGCAGGAGAGTCGCTTGAACGAGGGAGGTGGAGGTTGCAGTGAGCTGAGATCGCGTCATTGCACTCCAGCCTGGGCGACAGAGTGAGACTCCATCTCCAACAACAACAACAGTAACAACAACTGATTGAGGCTCCACTTGCTCTTCTTGTCATTCATTCATCCATTCATTCCTTCACTCATTCATTCATTCAAGACTGACTGAGCACTAACTGTGGGTAGGACCCCTGGTGGCTCCTGGGGACCCAGGGAGGAAAACGGACTTGTAGTTCCTGAACTCAGGAACGACCATCTCATGGGGCAGAGATAGAGGCTGGTTGATGGCAGTCCTGCGAGGCAGAGAGGTGCGGCCAGACAAGGGGGAGGCACAGGCCGGGCTGGGAGCTCAGGAGGGTGCCTGCAGCTGCTAGGCATCTCTGAGACCTGGGCATTGATCTGTCAGTTACCAGCTCAGCACACCAGAGAGTGGCTGTGGAATCATGAAACTCTAGGGGCTGCAGAGCCCTCCCCAGACCTGGTCATTGTCTTTGAGGAGCCCAGAGGTCAGAAGCTTCTCCTCCTCATTTGAGGTCAGGAGTTCGAGACCAACCTGGGCAACATAGAAAAACCTTGTCTCTACAAAAAATTTAAAAAGTTAGCCAGGGACAGTGACAGCTGAAGACAGTGATGTCTCCAGCCTCTTGGGAGGCTGACACAGGAGGATTACTTGAGGCTGAAGCAGGAAGATTGCTTGAGGCTGAAGTAGGAGGATTGCTTGAGGCTGAAGCAGGAGGATTGCTTGAGGCTGAAGCAGGAGGATTGCTTGAGGCTGAAGCAGGAAGATTGCTTGAGGCTGAAGCAGGAGGATTGCTTGAGGCTGCAGTGAGCAGTGATCTACCACTGCACTGTAGCCTGAGTGACAGAGCAAGATCTTATCTTAAACCCCTAAAGACAAAAAGCGAAACAAAATACACTAAACAAACAAAAAACCCCGAAGGGGCGTATGGGGTGAGATCAGAGCTTCTTGGGTGCCAGACTGGGAGCTTGGACTTTCTGCCTTGGGCAATGGGGAGCCATATGATTGGATTTGAGGCCCTGATGGAGGCAAAATGATCCAGGGAGTCAGTTCAGAGGCTGCTGTAGTGGATCAGGTCAAAGCTGAGGAGGCCTGAGTCGGAGTGTGGGCCGAGAGCACCCAAAGGCGGGAAGGAGCAAGAGGCAGATGAGAGCCAGTAATCACCAGTGCGGAGCTCCCAGAACCCAGGAGCCTGGGGACCCGTTATCTCTGCTGCTAGCCCTGGAGGCCCCTGGCTGGACCCTAAGACCCTGAGTCTTGCCTGCCCAGGTCCCTTCCCCATTAGCACTTCTTCTGTATGTGCAAAAAAGGGGGCTGTGATTACTGTGGGGACAGAGACCTGGAGAAGTGAAACCATGCTGAGCGTCTGGGAACTGGTGGGACAAACAGCTAAAATGTTCTTGCAGGAAACAGCTCTTATGGGGCCAGGGTGGTAGGTTACAGGTAAAAGCAAGGCTGGGTACACACTTGGCCCTGGGTCACCCCTAGAGCACCATGGGGCTGGGAGGAGCCCAGGAGGAGATAAAACAAGGGGATGAGTCCTCATTCCTGAAAATGGAAGATGGGTATAATTTAGAGCATTTTTGTTTAGCTATTTATTTTGCTTACCTGTATTGTCTACTTTTTTTCTTTCCAAAGACTGTCTTCTTTGTGTATTTAAAATAATTAAAAGGGGACTTTGAGAGGCCGAGGCAGGTGGATCACCTGAGGTCAGGAGTTCGAGACCAGCCTGGCCAACATGGTGAAACCCTATCTCTACTAAAAATGTAAAAATTAGCTGGGCATGGTGTGTGCCTGTAATCCCAGCTACTTGGGAGGCTGAGGCAGGAGAATCACTTGAACCCAGGAGGCGGAGGTTGGAATTAGCTGAGATTGCGCCATTGTATTCCAGCCTGGGCGACACAGCGAGACTATATCTCAAAAAAACAACAGGCCGGGCGCAGTGGCTCACGCCTGTAATCCCAGCACTCTGGGAGGCCAAGGTGGGTGGATCACCAGAGGTCAGGAGTTCGAGACCAGCCTGGCCAACATGGTGAAACCCCGTCTCTACTAAAAATACAAAAATTAGCCAGGCGTGGTGGTAGATGCCTGTAATCCCAGCTACTTGGAAGACTGAGGCAGGAGAATCACCTGAACCCAGGAGGTGGAGGTTGCAGTGAGCTGAGATTGCATCACTGCACTTCAGCCTGGATGAAAGAGTGAGACTCTGTCTCAAAAAAACAAAACAAAACAAAACCAAAAACCAAAAACAAAAAAACCCAAACAACAACAAATGAAATATTAAAGGGGGAAAAAGACATGCCGGTTTGTATGCCAAGTTGCAGTGGCAACTGGGGACAAATTAAATGTCTAAACAAAGATTTATTTCTTTTTTTTATTTTTGGAGACAGAGTCTCCAAAATATTTTTAGTAGAGTATTTTTAGAGTATTTTAGTAGAGTATTTAGTAGAGTATTTTTAGTAGAGACGAGGTTTCACCATGTTAGCCATGATGGTCTCGATCTCCTGACCTTGTGATCTTCCAGCCTCGGCCTCCCAACGTGCTGGGATTACAGGCGTGAGCCACCGTGCCCGGCCCTAAACAAAGATTTCTTGCTTTGCTCCTCTGATTCCTTGATCTTTATGTGCATGGGGCAGGTCTTGGAGGTGCACATGCAGGACTTTCTTGGCGTGGGTGTTTCTGCAGGGACCCACTTGGGGGCTTCTGCTCCCCTTCTGTGGTTCTGGGTGTGCGGACAGGCTGCCTCTGGCTGAGATTTGAGCCCCAGCTCCCCCAGCTTCAGACGGGCAACCTTAGGCTGCTAGAGCCTCTGTTTCCTCATCTGTAGAATGGGGGCAATGAGAGTCCCCTCCTTTTAGGATGACAGCTATGAGTGTACAGCTCAGGGCCTGGCCCTCAGTCACCTCCTGATTCATGAAAGTGATGATTGTTGCTTTTCATAATAACGACAGGGCCAGAGCCACATGGCTCACGTGAGCAGGTGCTGCAGACCCGGACCCTTTCTGAGTCACCACCAAGAGGCTATCAGGAAACAGACTGTGGTGTCTGGGAGACCCACGTTCTCTCTCTGCATTAGGCTGGGCGCCCACTGCGGTGCCTGTGGAAGAACCTGCTTGTGTGTGCGCATGCGTGCAAGCCAGGACACGTTCGTCTTTGTATGTACATGTTCATCTATGCATGTCCGGTGTTTGCATGAGCAAGGCCGCTGTGCTGCACAGCTCCAGGGACTTCTGTTTACACAGCGGCCTAAGTAAAGGGCTGTGCACTGCGCAGCAACAGGAAGCTGTGCCCCTCTGACCGCAGTGCGGATGGCAGCCCTGAGCCTGTGCACACGCAGGTGGGTCTCTGGGTGTGTCTTTATGGGTACCTCTCACTGCACATGTGTCTGTGTGTCTGTGTGTATGAGGCTGGGTGTACATGTCTGTGAGTGTGAGTTCCTGTGCGTGTGTATATTTGTGCCTCTGCAGGTGTGTTGCTCTGGAAATGCCTGTTTGTATCTATTTATATCTGTGTTCTCACATGAAGAGGAGGGAAGGAGCTGTGTGACTGTGTGCTTGTATGTCGACGTGTGTATGTGAATGTCTGTGCCTTTGGGATGCTTGTTTCTTTCTTTCTTTCTTTCTTTTTTTTTTTTTTGAGATGGAGCTTTGCTCTTGTTGCCCAGGCTGGAGTGCAATGGCGCAATCTCGGCTCACTGCAACCTCCGCCTCCCGGGTTCAAGCGATTCTCCTGCCTCAGCCTCCCAAGTAGCTGGGATTACAGGCACCCACCACCACGTCTGTCTAATTTTTTGTATTTTTAGTAGAGACGGGATTTCACCATGTTGACCATGGCTGGTCTCGAACTCCTGACCTCAGGTGATCTGCCCACCTTGGCCTTCCAAAGTGCTGGGATTACAAGCGTGAGCCACCGTGCCCGGCCAAGGGATGCTTGTTTCTTTGAGTGTTTGAAATGCACACGTTTCTCTGTGTGTCTGCTGTTGTGTGTGTGGTTGTGCACGTGTGAGAGAGAGGGGGAGAGAACAGTGGGCTTCGGTGCCATGCCTTCCGCTGTGCTGTGGCCCTGTGTCAAACCTGGAGCAGCTGCCTTCAGAGGCCAGGAGTGTGACTTCCCATTTCCTGAGCACTGTCCCTCTGTCCACAGGAGTGCTGCTGGATGTACAGGAGGTTTTTCAGATCAGTGACAGCCATGCTGGTTTGCTTCAGACTGGTAAGGAGGAGCCCTGGCTCTGGAGCTGGGGTCCTGGGTTCCTGCTGGGGTGGGCTCTTTCTGTGGGTCATGTTCTGTGCCCAGCTCCAGCCCCACTGGGTCCCCTGGCACAGAGGGTGGGTGTGGCGTGGTCCTGAGGGACAGTCTAGGCAGGAGCGGGAGAGAGCCCAGGCTGGAACAGCCGTGGTAGTTTGAGTGTAGGGTGCTGCAGGAGAGCAGAGGGAGGTGGGGCTGGGAGAGGCCCCCGAGTCTCAGCTCCTGGCTGTGGAGCTAGTCATTCCTTTCCTTTGTATTGCTGAGGCTCAGCTGTGCACCAGAGGCTTGCTGGGGTTTGAGAAATCCTCATGTATGCTTTCCTCTCACAGACCTGAAAAATCTAACTACTGGGACACATGAAGTCAAACAGACAGACACAGACACAGACACATCCCCCCGCGTGGGCTCAGATGGACTCTGGGCCCACAGAGAGCCTAACACCCAGCAGCAGGGAGCAGCCACACGTCCCATCACAACATCAGAGCGGTTGGGGTCATGAGGCATCAGCTTTTCCCTTGTGGGTGCCTGGATGGTGACAACACACTCACACATGTGCATATCCACACTCCCACATGGGCACACATATGGTCACAACACGTGATACACCTGTGCACACACCCAGCCTGTAATCAGTAGGCACTGAGGGTCCTCCTCCCAGTCCATCATCTCAGGGCTTTAGAACATGACTCTCAAACTGGGGTACAGGGATCTCTGGGGATACACAGTAACTTTCCAGGGGCTACATGAACAGAGAGAGTTTTGAGAGACTGATTTATTTCTAGATCCTCAAGCCTGAATGTTTTTTTCCTAAAATGACCTGCCTGCCGGGGAGCCTGTGGTCGGCCTGTGGTTCTCCTTCCTCTCCTTCCGTTGTACAATTCCCTGGCTACAGCAGTAAGCAGAGAGGGACCCCTCTCCACATCCTGGATGTGCTGTTCCTGGGTGTAAAAACCTCCGGGGCATCAAACAGAGGCCCCCGCGTGGATGTTCGGCTTCTGCTGGGGGGACCTTGGGAGCAAAGCAGAGAGCAACAGGAGAAACATGCTGGGGAGATTTGCCCCAGGCCACCAGCCCAGGCAAGGAGCCAAGCCTTATCTAGCTGTCCCTGTGTGCAATGTCTACTATTTATCTACGAATTAAAATTCAAAGTGAGATAATGGTCTCAGGGATGCATGTCAACACATTTGTTTCAATGAAAAAAATGAAGCCAACATTTTTCTTTTTTTTTTTTTTGAGACAGAGTTTCGTTCTTGTTGCCCAGGCTAGAGTGCATGGCACGATCTCGGCTCACTGCCACCTCCACCTCCCAGGTTTAAGCAATTCTCCTGCCTCAGCCTCTCGAGTAGCTGGGATTACAGGCATGTACCACCATGTTGGCCAGGCTGGTCTTGAATTCCCGACCTCAGGTGATCCGCCCATCTCAGCCTCCCAAAGTGCTGGGATTATAGGCGTGAGGCACCACGCTGGGCAACATTTTTCTTATAATCAGTTTGATTGTCTAATTGCTTTGGCAAAAGAGGACGGGCATTATGACTTGGATTCTACTGCAGACATTCCCCGTAAACTGAATAAACTCGACCCTGTAGTTCCAAGAGTTTGGATGAAAATACAGTTAAAAAAAATACACAACAATGCTGGAAGTCCCATCCTTGGCAACGATTCAAACACGGGATAAGAACATTTTAATATTAGCTGAAAATATGTGGAAGGGTATGTAGTTCTAGAAAGTTCTTTAAAAATGAGGTGAGAACTGGGTGCAGTGGCTCACGCCTGTAATCCCAGCTCTTAGGGAGGCAGAGGCGGGAGAATAGCTTGAGCCCAGGAGTTCGAGACCTGCTTGGGCAATATAGTGAGACTTCCTTCTCCACAAAAAGGAAAAAAAAAAAAAAAAGACAAAAGAGTTACGTGAGCAAGAGTTAGAAGACCATGGCTTTAGAACATGCATCATTTCCAATTGCCCCTCAGTCTTGTGGCCAAGAGGCGGCAACTGATGCTGATCTACCAGCCATATCTGTAGCCAAAGTGAGATACCCACAACCTCCTCGATTAAATAGATAATGGTGGTTTAGTCAACATTTCCCTTTACTCGTTCTTTTTTTTTTTTGAGACGGAGTTTCACTCTTATTGACCAGGCTGGAGTGCACGATCTTGGTTCACTGCAACCTCTGCCTCCCGGGTTCAGGTGACTCTCCTGCCTCAGCCTCCTGAGTAGCTGGGATTGCAGGTGCCCGCCACCACGCCCAGCTAATTTTTGTATTTTTAGTAGAGATGGGGGGGTCTCACCACGGTGGCCAGGCTGGTCTTGAACTCCTGACCTCAGGTGATCTGCCAGTCTCGGCCTCCCAGATTGTTGAGATTACAGGCGTGAGCTACCATGCTGGCCCTTCACTGGTTCTACCATAGTGGTCAGGATTATTACTATAAGGCCTGGGCCACGGAGGGAGAAATGTGTGTGTGTGTGTTTAGGAGTAGGTGAAGAGAAGGGTCATCTTTGCAGAAGCAGCCCAAAAATTTCATGAAAAGGACAGTGGGCTTGGAGGCCTGATGACCAGGCTGGTCTCTGGTGGCCTCAGATGAGGTCTCTTTACCTTTTTGGGTTGCCATGCTGTGGCCCTAGACCCAGCCTGTTGTTTGTCCACAGGGCTGCTAAGAAGAGGAAACTGATGATTGAGGGAGAGGGTGGTGAAGAGATAGAGGAATTGGGCCGGGCGCAGTGGCTCACGCCGATAATCCCAGCACTTTGGGAGGCCGAGGTGGGTGGATCACCTGAGGTTGGGAGTTCGAGACCAGCCTGACCAACATGGTGAAACCCCATCTCTACTAAAAATACAAAGATTAGCCGGGTGTGATGGCAGGTGCCTGTAATCCCAGCTACTTGGGAGATTGAGACAGGAGAATCACCTGAACCCAAAAGGCGGAGGTTGCAGTGAACTGAGATCGCGCCACTGCCCTTCAGACTGGGCCACAGAATGAGACTCTGTCTCAAAAAATCAATAAAAAGAGAGAGTGGTGGAAGGTGAGAAGAGGCAGTGGTCGGGCTCCCTTCACCCACCTATGGGATAGAGAGGCTGCTGGAGTGAGTTAATTAATTAATCATATTTAAAACTAACACTGACTTGGCCCTTACCACGTGCCAGGCACTATTCTAAGAGCTTTAAATATCAACTTATTTAATCTTCACAACAATCCCACGAGGCAGGTCTTACTATTATGTCCATTTTACAGCTGATGAAACTGAGGCTCAGAGAAGTTAGGAGACTTGCTGAAGCTGGGATTTGAATCCAGGAAGCGTGCCTGCAGAGTCTGTCTTTTAACTCTGGGAGCATTCATTTCATCCACTATGTCAAATAAGTGATTTGAATTTGGAGATGTTGGAAATGAGGAATGTCTGTTTTCTCTTGGGAAGGGCATCTGCAGAGTCAGTCACAGAGCGTCTGCAGGTTTAAGGCACTTAAAACAGCCTGCAAGTGATCCCTGCATGTGAGGAATATGGGGAAAAATATATTTATTTATTTATTGTTGTTGTTTGTTGTTTTTTTGAGACAGAGTCTCGCTCTGTCACATAGGCTGGAGTGCAGTGGCACAATCTTGGCTCACTGCAACCTCCGCTTCCCGTGTTCAAGCAGTTCTCCTCCCTCAGCCTCCCTAGTAGCTGGGATTACAGGCGTGCACCACCACACCTGGCTAATTTCTGTATTTTTAGTAGAGATGGGGTTTCACCATGTTGGCCAGGCTGGTCTCGAACTCCTGACCTCAGGTGATCCACCCGCCTTGGCCTCCCAAAGTGCTGGGATTACAGGTGTGAGCCACCGCGCCCGGCTGGGAAATAGTTTTATAACTTTTGGATAAAGAAGATATGCATAAACAAGACGTGAAACAACTCTTGCCCCTCTAGAAGGTTAATAAACTTGACAACGTCAAAGCTAAACACTTCTGTATGATGATGATTGAAATTATGCAATCAGCAATAATAATAGATAACATTTGTTGGATGTTTACATGAAGCTATGCAGATAACTTTTATGTGCTTTATTTTACTTAATCCTCTCAGTAACCAAACAAGGGAATAGCACTGTTGATGAAAGGGGAACAAAAGAGTTAAGGAATCTGCCCAAGGTCACATAGTTAGAAAGTGGCGAGCCAGGATTTAAACCCAGCCAACTTAGTCCCAGAAGTTGCGTTTTTAATTCTTAAAACAAACATAGAACTATGTTCTATGGGAACTTATTTCCAAAACATATGAACAAACAACAGCCCAACAGAAAAATGGAAAGTGAGCCGGGCGCGATGGCCCATGCCTGTAATCCCAGCACTTTAGGAGGCCGAGGTGGGTGGATCCCTTGTGCCCAGGAGTTCGAGACCAGCCTGGGCAAGATGGTGAAACCTCATCTCTACAAAAACTACAAAAATTAGCCAGGTGTAGTGGTACGTGCCTGTAGTCTCAACTACTCTGGAGGCTGAGGTGGGAGGATGGCTTGAGGCCGGGAGGCAGAGAATGCAGTGAGCCGAGATTGAACCACTGCACTCCAGCCTGGGTGACAGAGTGAGACTTTGTCTCAAAAAATAAAATAAAAGTATAAATGCAGCTGTGTCCAGGGAACATTTTACCTATGTAGGAGAACCAACTCTTTCCTGGCTTCCTGGAATCATCACTAGTTCACAGCGAATGTGCTTATTCTTTCTTTCTTTTTTTTTTTTTCCTTTTTTTGAGACCAAGGCTTGCTCTGTCGCCCAGGCTGGAGTGCAGTGGCGTGATCTCGGCTTACTGCAACCTCTGCCTCCCGGGTTCAAGCGATTCTCATGCCTCAGCCTCCCGAGTAGCTGGGATTACCAGTGCCCACCATCAGGCCTGGCTAATTTTTTTGTATTTTTTTTTTAGTAGAGACGGAGTTTCACTATGTTGCCCAGGCTGGTCTTGAACTCCTGAGCTCAGGCAATCTGCCTGCCTCAGCCAACTAAAGTGCTGGGATTACAGGCGTGAGCCACTGCACCCGGCCCAATGTGCTCATTCTAAACTGTCCTCATCTGCTGCTCAGAGCAGGCCCCGGCTGACTTCCCTCTTTCCCTGCTCCCTGTTGCCCCAGTAGGTGCATGAATGAAAAATCAGACCTGTCCGCATACCCAGCCTCACAGGGGTCATGTGTTTTTGTAAAGCCGGAAAACTGGCATCTGCTCCGTGCCTGACGGTCCACATTCACTTCCCATCTCACCTTCGCCATCCTGGGAGGGGATGGTGACTTCTCCAGTGTTGGGGTGACACTCAGAGCAAGCGACAGAGCTGGGCTTTGGGTTTGGGGCCGGGTCCAGGCCTCCACACTCTGGGCTGGGGTTGTATGTTGGCCACGCACTGTGAGGTTCACCTTATCTTTTCTTCCTCCTACCCTGGGCCCACTGCCAAGATGCCAGCTTGTGGCTTCTGAGTCAGGCTCCTTCCCTCCCCAGGCCTGCTGGGCCGTCTGCCCTGCCACGGTCGTGGGGGGATCCAGGCTGCCCCTGTGTGTCTCCTCCAGTCTTCATCGGCTGCCTGCTGCTGTCCGCACCCGTGTTTGGCTACCTGGGCGACCGATACAGCCGCAAGACCACCATGAGCTTCGGGATCTTGCTCTGGTCAGGAGCTGGTCTCTCTAGCTCCTTCATCTCCCCCCAGGTAGGTGTGCATGCCTCTGCCCAGTCCCCTGAGGCCCCTTCCCCACCTGCTTCCTCCCTGATCCAGCCCCATCAGAGCTGCGTGGGGACAATTCTGCTGCATTCCTGGCTGTGGCTGGATCAGGGATTGCACTGAGGGCTGGGAGAGGAGGTGAGGGCCCCGTCTCCAGCCTGAGCTGTGCAGGGCAGAGCTGGTGGACTTTTTTTTTTTTTTTTTTTTTTTTTGAGAAAGAGTTTCACTCTTTTTGCCCAGGCTGGAGTGCAATGGTGCGATCTCGGCTCACTGCCAACTCTGACTCCCAAGTTCAAGTGATTCTCCTGTCTCAGCCTCCAGAGCAGCTGGGATACCAGGCGCGTGCCACCACGCCCAGCTAATTTTTGTATTTTTTAGTAGAGACAGGGTTTTGCCGTGTGGGCCAGGCTGGTCTCGAACTCCCGACCTCAGGTGATCCGCCCGTCTCAGCCTCCCAAAGTGCTGGGATTACCTGCGTGAGCCACCGTGCCTGGCCGACCCGGTGGACTTTCTTAACAGGAGACCTCCTCTCTCCTACCTCTCACTGCCGCACCAGCTTCATTTCTGCCTGACTCTGCTCGGGGTGGAACTGGGGGTAACAGCTGCTGTCTTGGGGAACTGGCCTGGTTAGCAATGGTGGGACCCAGGAGAAGGGCTCCCCTGGGCAGAGGGATAGGCGGTGGCTTCAGGGGACACATGTGTGACTTTGGAAACCTGGAGTGGAGAGGTGTCCTTGGCCCCGATCCCCTCTCCCTACTCTGGGGTCCTGTGTCATGAGGTCCCCTCGGCTCTTCCAACAAACCCTTGGGTCCCTGGCCCTCTGGGTGATTTCTGGAACTCACGTGGTCTTGTGCCTGCTCGCCCAGTATTCTTGGCTCTTCTTCCTGTCCCGGGGCGTCGTGGGCACTGGCTCGGCCAGCTACGCCACCATCGCGCCCACCGTCCTGGGCGACCTCTTTGTGAGGGACGAGCGCACCCGCGTGCTGGCCGTCTTCTACATCTTCATCCCTGTTGGAAGGTTGGTATTACCCATGGGTCCACTTCCCCAGGTGGTAAACTGAGGCCCAAAGGAGTCAGAACAGGGGCTGGGCATGGGTAGGAGAGGTCAAACCAGGAGGGCTGCAGTTTGAGTCCCAATGCTACCCCTTCCTCACCACATGAGTCTACCTCTCTGAGCTTCAGTTTCCTCATCTGTCAACGGGGGCAGTGATGCCAGCTGATGGGCTGGGGGAGGAGTAGAGGTGATGAGGATGCGCCCTGCAGATTTGTACACTCAGCAGTGTGGCCCGCCCAGGGAGGGGCTGGCCCTGGGAGGCGAGGTGAGGAAGCGTGGTAGGGCCAGGCCCTGCACCCCACAGCAGGCTAGGCCAGAGGAGGATTCGCAGTCAGGACCCTGGCCTCTGACCCAGATTTCCTGAACTTGCCTGACTCAAGCAGGTCCCAGCCTTGGGCAGGAGGATGGAGGGTATGGGTTTCCATAGGTGGGGAGAGTGGCGCTGGGGGTGGGCCACGAGCCAGAGGTCACTGCTGACTTGACCAAGGGCAGTGGACATCTGGGCCTCACGTGGCTTACTTTCCTCAGTGAAACAGCTCTGAGCCTGCAGAGAGTCAGCTCCCTGGGGCACGGGGGAGCACCCTGGGTCAGGCTGGCAGTGGGGTCTGCCTTCCGCCTCCCTCCCCTCACAGCCCATCGCCCTTGACCCTCTGTTGCAGTGGTCTGGGTTACGTGCTGGGGTCGGCTGTGACGACGCTGACTGGGAACTGGCGCTGGGCCCTCCGAGTGAGTCCAGCTTCCTTTTCTTCCCTCTGCTTTCCCTCTGGACCGGCAGGGACTTTCCAGCCTTGGGTGACCTTAGCCACTTGGCGTAGCACCCGGCGCCATTGGAGGGGCGTGGGGGTGGTCAGGCATTGGCAGCTTTGGACATTTGGGGCCCCACAGGGAGCGTGGGCTGGGGAGGTGGTGGCCCTAGGCTCAAAAGCTGGCTGCTTAGTTTACCAGCTGTGTGATCTCAAGCAGGTCACCTTCTTCAGAGCCTCAGTTTGCCTGTCGGTAAAGTGGGGGTAGTAAATGCTACCTAAGGCATCTTGAGGATCCGTGAGACGAGAGATGGAAGTTCCAAGTCACCGGGTCAGGGCATAGAGTAGGCCCTGGAGGACTGGCAGCTAGGCTCGCTCAGCAGTTGGGCAGGATGCTGAGGAAGACGCCAGGGAGGCTCTGCTGGGCTGCGGCCCTTGTAATTCCAACATGGGCACGGAGCGGGACCATTCTGAAGAGGAAGGGACTCCATAGTGGAGGGCACTGAGCTCAGCCCTGGGAGTGCAGCTTGGTGGGAGTGCAGGCTGCACGCAGACCTCTACATGCAGGCTTCAAGGAGGCAGGTCTGACCTGACTTGAATAAACCTCATGGCCTGAGCTGTTTGCAGGCTGCCCCAAGGTGGGTAGTGAGATCCCCGTCCTCGGGGTTTGAGCAGTGGGGCTGCTAGGAGAGGATGCCAGGGCAGGACTATGTGGCAGATGGAGGCCTGGGCCAGGGAAAGGTCAGCTCTAGGGGCAGCAGGTACTCGGGAGGCAGGGCCAGTGTAGTGAGGGTCCCTGTTCTCAACCATCTCAGGCCCATTGACCCCAAAAGAGTGGTGTCTGTACTGGAAAGGTGAGAATGACACGAAATCCCAGACTCCACTGCCCGGGGAGGCTGCAGTGGTGAGGGCTAAGAAATAGTGGTACATCCCGCTCTGTGGATACCAGCGCCCTGAAAAACAAGTCACCCCCACCACTCCCAGGGCCTGGACCCCAGAGGTCAGACACTGGCTGGTACTGTGACCAGTTGCCCCTGGGGTCTCTTGGGCTGTGATAATACGCGGCCCTGAGCTTCCTGGTCCCTCCTGTCCCCAGATCATGCCCTGCCTGGAGGCGGTGGCCTTGATCCTGCTTATCCTGCTGGTTCCAGACCCACCCCGGGGAGCTACCGAGACGCAGGGGGAGGGGGCCGCGGGAGGCTCCAGGAGCAGCTGGTGTGAGGACGTCAGATACCTGGGGAAAAAGTGAGTGTCACTGCTACCCCCTGCAAGGCACGGAAAAACCCCTTTGTCTGCCCCAGCCTCACTGACCCCCTCTCTCCACCTCCAGGGAGCCCTCCCTTGTTGTCCCAATGTTCACAGCCCTCCTCTTCCTCTGAGATCCCACTTACCAACTGAAGTGCCCCTCCCTGCCTTAGGGCTCAGCCTCCACCACCTTGCCGTGTGACAGAAATATGGACAGGGAGGGAGGGAGATGGCGTGAGCCCCAGCCTTGCCTCTGCCGCTGCCCTGCCCATCAGTGGCCATGGCACTCAGAGCCTCACTGTCCTTATTTATTCAATGGATGGAATTCTCCAGCCTTGTCCCCTTCTCTGGGTTGCTTGGAGGATGCTGGGAGTTCATCACTCACCTCTCCAAGCCTCATGGCGTGTGTGATCCTCTGTGCCAGCCATGCTGGGGGAGGCAGGCAGGAGTCAACTGCTGGTCCCAGGCCTCACAATTCACTGCAAGGCAGGACATGGACAGGACCCACTTCTGTGACTGAGCTGTGAAACGGGCCAGAAGGACTCAGAGGAAGATGGGGCAGGCAGGGACAGCTTCCTGGAGAATGTGATGCTGGATGGGGAACCCTCAGGATGGGGAGATTTGGTCCTGCAGAGAGGAGGGAGGGAGGAGGAGCCAAGGTGCATGGATTGGGGGGTCTCCGAAACATAGGGGAGGCTGGAGCTCAGGGTGCTGCCAGGAAGGATCTGGAGGCTGGAGCTTGGGGTAACCTGAGTGTCTTCTTTGGAGCCTCAGTTTGCCTATCTGTAAAGAGGGGTTAGCAATTGCTACCTATGGAATCTTGAAGGTAATGAGACAGGATAGAAAAGTTCCCAGAGTGCCCAGGAGTGGGGAGGAGTGGACAGCACCCTTCAGCCCCAGCCCTCTCCCGACTCCAGGTGGGGCACCTTGTCTTGCAGCTGGAGTTTTGTGTGGTCCACCCTCGGAGTGACCGCCATGGCCTTTGTGACTGGAGCCCTGGGGTTCTGGGCCCCCAAGTTTCTGCTCGAGGCGCGCGTGGTTCACGGGCTGCAGCCTCCCTGCTTCCAGGAGCCGTGCAGCAACCCTGACAGGTGAGGGCGTCTGGGGGCACTGGGCACCTTGCCCAGCTTGGGGGCTCTTGCTGAGGAAGTTCTGAGCTCCAAAATTCAGTGTCTTGAGGTGGGGCACGTGGTGCTGTGTGAAGATAGTGAGGCTCGGGACCCAGATGGCAGCAGGAGGCCTGGCTCTGGCTCGGGCTCGGGCTGAGCCTCTGCCACTCTGGGTGGCCATGGCCAGCTCCCTTGTCCTCTGTGGGCTGAATTCCCCATCTCTCCACTCTTGGGGCCACTGTGGGCTCCAGAAGGCACTGGCAGGAGACGGGCGTGAAGCTTCTGTGGGGCTGTGGAATGAGAGGAGCCCCACCCTTCAGAGGGGTCTGCAGCATCTTCTGTGAGGGCATCCCATTTTACAGATGGCAAACTGGGGCCCGGGAGGCCTCGTCACTTCGCTAGTTTTGGGATTTCATGTGTGTGAGAAGGCTGCTGGGAGGGAAGGCACGGGCACTCTGCCCTTAGGGCACGCCCTCTCCCACTTCCCGCCTGGCTGTCTGCTGCCCGGCTGGGCTCCACTTCTGTTCCTATCACCTTCGACCCTGTGCTCCAAGAGCTCCAGTGACTGCTTGATGCTGAGTCAAGGACATCCTTCAATTCTCCCTTCCTTCTCTCCTCCTCCTCCCCGAACCCTTAACCCCGGCCTCCCCACTGCCTCCAGCGGCTGCTCTTCCGCCTCCATGCGGTCCCCTCCTCCGCTCTGACCCTGTCCTGGTGGGTCCTGGGGGCTCCTGGGGATGCTGTCTTCTTCCCTGGAGCCCCATCCTCCCCCAGGGTTTTGGCGACACTCATGCTCTGCTGACTGCACCTGCGCCTACCTTCTCCTTCCCTCCTCCTCCTTCTCCTCCTTCCTTCGCTCTTCTCTTCTTTTCTCTTCTCTTCTCCTCTTCTTTTCTCTCTTCTCTTCTCCTCTCCTCTCTTTTCTCTTCTCTTCTTCCTTCTCTCTTTCTTTCTCCCTCCCTTCCCCTCTCCTCTCCTTCCTCTCTCTCTCTCCCTCCCTCCTTCCCTTCCTCCCTTCCTTCTCTTCTTTCTTTTTTGAGTCGAGGTGTCACTCTGTCACCAGGCTGGAGTGCAATGGTACAAACTGTTTGCTGCAGCCTCGACCTCCCAGGCTTAAGCAATCCTCCCACCTCAGCCTCCCGAGTAGCTGGGACCACAGGCACACGCCACCATGCCTGGTAATTTTTTTTTTTTTTTTTTTTTTTTGAGACAGAGTTTCACTCTTGTTGCCCAGGCTGGAGTGCAATGGCACAATCTTGGCTGACTGTAGTCTCTACCTCCTGGGTTCAAGTTGTTCTCCTGCCTCAGCCTTCCGAGTCGCTAAGATCACAGGCATGCGCCACCACAACCGGCTAATTTTTGTTTGTTTGTTTTTAGTAGAGATGGGGTTTCACCATGTTGGGCAGGCTGGTCTCAAACTCCCGACCTCAAATGATTGGCCCACCTTAGCCTCCCAAAGTGCTGGGATTACAGGCGTGAGCCACCTCGCCCAGCCTGACTTACATATCTTTAAGGGCTCTCTTGGCTGTGAGAGTCTGTGATGCTGGGAAGGCCCTGTGTGGATGGAGGGAACGTGAAGGGCTTCGTAGCTGGGCCATGTCCTCTGGCTGCACCTCCCGTTCAGGGGCTGGTGGGGGTGCCTTTTCAGGCAGCCTGTCTAGATAATCAATCCTAAGTCTCACGATTATCTCGAGAACCTGCCAAGGTCAGCTCAGACCAGGACTCAGAGGCGGCCAGCATACATTTGGGATTCAGGTCACTTGACTAGGCTGAGCCAGACCTTGCACAGCTCGGAAGGCTGGGAAGGTTTGGAAAGCTCTTCTTTCTTCTTTCTCCCTGCCCCTGCCCCTCCCCTTTCCCCCTCCCCCTCCCCCTCTTCCCCTCCCCCTCCCCCTCCCCTCCTCCCCTCCCCATCCCCTCCTCCCCTCCCCATCCCCTCCTCCCCCCCCCCTCCCCCTCCCCCTCCCTCTTCCCCTCCCCCTCCCTCTCCCCTCCTCCCCTCCCCCTTCCCCTCCCCCTCTCCCCTCCCCCTTCCCCCCTCCCCCCCCCCTCCCCCCCTCCCCCCCCCCCCTCCCCCCCCCCCTCCCCCTCCCCCCCCCTCTCCTCTTCTTTTTCTTTTTCTTCTTCTTTCTTTTTTTTTGAGACAGTCTTGCTGTGTTGCTAGACTGGAGTGCAGTGGCACGATCTCAGTTCACTGCAAGCTCCACCTCCCAGGTTCAAGTGATTCTCCTGCCTCAGCCTCCAGAGTAGCTGGGACTACAGGCGCCTGCCACCACGCCCAGCCAATTTTTGTACTTTTAGTAGAGAATTTAGAGAATTCTCAGTCATTTGGGCAAAGCGAGGGTGGGAGAAGAGAGGGGAAGCTACATCGGTCGGCGTGGACCAGTCCCGTAGGGCCGTCAGTGCTAGCCAGGAGCTTGCTCAGAGGACAACAGGGAGCTACTGAGAGGCTGGAAAGATCCTGGTTAGACTGGTGTTTTCAAGAGTTCACGCTGGGCACAGTCTCAGTGTTCCCTTTGAGCTCCTTTATTTGTTTTGTTTTGTTTTGTTTTTGAGATGGAGTCTCACTCTCTTGCCCAGGCTGAAGTGCCGTGGTGTGATCTCAGCTCACTGCAACCTCCACCTCCCAGATTCAAGTGGTTCTCTTGCCTCAACCTCCCAAGTAGCTGGGATTACAGGTGCCCACCACCATTCCCAGCTTTTTTTTTTTTTTTTAGTAGGGATGCGGTTTTGCTGTGTTGGCCAGGTTGGTCTTGAATTCCTGACCTCAAGTGATCCACCCGCTTCGGCCTCCCAAAGTGCTGGGATTACAAGCATAAGCCACCCCGCCTGGCCTCTTTGAGCTCCCTTAAAAGGAGGCTGGAGGTTGCAGAATAGACCAGGAGGGTGAGGATGTATGTTCAAATCCTGGTCTGTCATTTACCAGCTGGGTAATCTTGGCCTTGACCTTTCTCAGCCTCTCCTTGCTCATCTGTCCATCTGGGAATTGTAGGAGGAATCCGTGAGTTCACTTGCTCTACATATGTCTCTCGTGTGCCAGGCTCTATGCTCCCAGCATAGAGTCAAGAGAGGAAACCAAACCTGTTACTGTTCTCCAGGAATTCCCAGGCTGGCGAATGAACCTGATGACAGACACAGAAGGGGCTGTGGGAACTGATGGGAGTGAAGGGATCAGCCAGGGAACAAAGGAAGGGCATCCCCAAGTAGGCTGTGCTGGGTCTTGAAGGATGAGTAGGAGTTTGATAGGTCAAAAACTAGTGAAGGGTGTTCCAGGCAGAGGAATGAAAGTGTGTGGTTGGGAGTCGGGAGGGGAGAGCAACTAGTCTGGGGGAAGAAAATAGAGCTAGGACCTGGAGTTGATGTGAGTCAGAGTCAGATCACGAAGAACAATGTACATCTTATGGAACTGGGGACAAATCTAGTGGGTGTCTGAGAGCTGGTGGAGAATTTTAGGCAGGAGGTGGGCAGGGACGTGGTCAGGTCTGTGGTTTTTTTTTTTTTTCTGAGACAGAGTCTCGCTCTGTCGCCCAGGCTGGAGTGCAGTGGCCAGATCTCAGCTCACTGCAAGCTCCACCTCCCAGGTTTACGCCGTTCTCCTGCCTCAGCCTCCCGAGTAGCTGGGACTACAGGCGCCCGCCACCGCGCCCGGCTAGTTTTTTGTATTTTCAGTAGAGACGGGGTTTCACCGTGTTAGCCAGGATGGTCTCGATCTCCTGACCTCGTGATCCGCCCGTTTCGGCCTCCCAAAGTGCTGGGATTACAGGCTTGAGCCACCGCGCCCAGCCTAGGTCTGTGTTTTTGATTTTATTTTTAGAGACAGATTCTTGCTCTGTTGCCCAAGCTGGAGTGCAGTGGTATGATCATAACTCACTGTGGCCTCGAACTTCTGAGCTCAAGTGATCTTCCCGCCTCAGCCTCTTGAGTAGCTGGGACTACAGGTGCACGCCACCAAGGCTGGATCATTTAAACATTTTTTGTAGAGATGAGATCTTTCTGATCTTGAACTCCTCCCGCCACGGATCTCCTGCCACCACAGAATGCACTCGTGGGGAGCCTGTGTGGCGGCTATTTTGGAGGGACAGGTCTCCACAGGAAGGATGTACAAGGGGAAGCGAAACGGAGTAGAAGCGGGTCTAAAAGTGGGTGGGAAAGGGACGGAGGTCAGGCAGGGGCTGCCTGAGGGGGGTTCAAAGACAGGAAGTGGAAGGATGGGATTCAAGGAAGGAGGGCATGTAGAGGGCCCAGACAAGGGCCGGGTGTATCACTGGGGCTTAGTAAATACATGTTCGCTTGCCTCCATTCCTCTTAGTACTGGGAGCTGGAAAGAGAGAAGGTTGGGGCCAGAGTGGGACCCTGGAATTCAGATTTTGAGTGGGCAGTTTTGGGGGATGACAGGGAAAGGGTCAATGGAGATGAGGCAGGCTGGGACCTGGGGTGCTGGGTGATCACCCACATGGCCAGTGGGATCCACAGGATGAGATAGGGGATGAGGTAGGAAAGGGGCTGGGGGAGGGCAGTGGGACATTCGTCCCTGGTCAGGGTCCCCAGGTCTTGGGAGCATCAGTGATGAGGGTGTGTAAGGCCTGGGTCAGATCAGGGGCCCACAGCCATATTCCCTGTAGACACCAGATCGTGTCCTTGAGCCAAGGGGCTAGACCTGGGGCTGGGAGCAGGGTGAAAGGTCTCCATGCTGAGCTCACCCAGCTGACCAACCCCTGTGTTCTTTCCCATTAGCCTGATTTTTGGGTCATTGACCATCATGACCGGCGTCATTGGGGTCATCTTGGGGGCAGAAGCTGCGAGGAGGTACAAGAAAGTCATTCCAAGAGCTGAGCCCCTCATCTGCGCCTCCAGCCTGCTTGCCACGGCCCCCTGCCTCTACCTGGCTCTTGTCTTGGCCCCGACCACCCTGCTGGCCTCCTATGTAAGTGAGAGCCTCATGGAGGTGGGAACAGGGTTGGGGGATGAGGAACTCCCGTTTCCACAGCTCACGCTGTGCCCGGCCTTTACGTACATTATGTTGATCTCTCCTTCTGGGTAGCGCTTATCCCCGTTTTGCAGATGAGTAAAGAGAGGCTGGACGCGGTGGCTCACGTCTGTAATCCTAGCACTTTTGGGCCTGGCCAATATGGTGAAACCCTGTCTCTACTAAAAATATTAAAAAATTAGCTGGGCATGGTAGTGGACACCTGTAATCCCAGCTGCTCGGGAGGCTGAGGCAGGAGAATCGCTTGAACGCGGGAGGCGGAGGTTGCAGTGAGCTGAGATTGTGCCGCTGCACCCCAGCCTGGGCAACAGAGCACGACTCCATCCTGCGGGGGAAAAAAAGAGAGAGAAGCTTACCAGGAGTTCCACAGTGAGGAAGGGGCAGAACTGGGATTTGAGCCTGAGCTTTTCTGACTGTAAAAGGTGTCCTCTGAGCATTGGATTAATGTGTTAGTTTGAGAAAATAGGACTCATTTATTGCCAGGGCATATTGTGGGTCCAAGAAGAAATAGAGCAATTCTCCCCAGGTTACAGAGGAGCGAAGCAAGGCCCAGATTGGTTACGGCCAATGTGGACGCAGCTTTAAGGGCGATAATCACGGTAATATCAAGTATTCCATATCCACATCCCATCACACCCTTTCATGGGCCTCACACTCTGGCCGTGCCAGCCACATGGGAGAGCCACAGAGTCTGCCTTCCCAGACTCTGCACGTGTCCATTTCTTCCACCGAGAGCACCAGTTCCTCTTTTGTGCATCCCGAAATCCTCCTTCTGCAAGACTCAACTCAAAGTCAGCTTCCTCCAAAAGCCTTCCCGGACCGCTCTATCCTCACGCCAGAATTCATGTTCCTGCTTGGGCTCAGTGCCTGTTTGCATGAGACACCGAGGTGTATGGGGCCTGTCCAAAGACAGGGGGCCCAAAGGGTGGGGGACCAGAGCTGGAGGGTCCCTGTGTGCAGCTGTGTCCCTGGCTCCCCAAAGCCCCAGCCCTGCCTGACCCCCAACATGGGAAAGGGCCACTGCTTCTGGGAAGATGACGCCAGCCCAGCCGGAAGCAGAGGGACTAGACCTCCCCTCCTTTCCCAGATCCATGGCCCTGGGCCCTGTGGCTGCAGACAGGGCCCATACATGCGTGCACCAGGTTTACTGAGCAGGCCAGACTTTGGAAAAGTAAACCAACCACGACTTTATTGTCCTCACACTAGTTTGGCCGCATCTCCCACCCATGGCCAGAGCCCATCACTTCTCCAGTCACACGCACGAACTAAACAGTCTGGTCCCATTGAAATAAAAACCTTGGCCCTGCTTCCGAATAAAGTTTCTTTTTTCTTTTTTCTTTTTTTTTTTTTGAGACTGAGTCTCGCTCTGTTGCCCAGGCTGGAGTGCAGTGGCGTAATCTCAGCTCACTGTAACCTCTGCTTCCTGGGTTCAAGTGATTCTCCTGCCTCAGCCTCCCAAGTAGCTGGGATTACAGGTGCGAGCCACCACGCCCAGCTATTTTTTTAATTTTAAATTTTATTTTATTTATGTATTTATTTTGAGATGGAGTCTTGCTCTGTTGCCCGGGCTGGAGTGCAGTGGCGCCATCTCAGCTCACTGCAACCTCTGCCTCCCAGGTTCAAGCGATTCTCCTGCCTCAGCCTCCTGAGTAGCAGGGATTACAGGTGTACGCCACCACGCCCAGCTAATTTATGTATTTTTAATACAGATGGGGTTTCACCATGTTGGCCAGGCTGGTCTCCAACTCCTGACCTCGTCATCCACCCGCTTCAGGTTCCCAAAGTGCTGGGATTACAGGTGTGAGCCACTATGCCTGGCCCCAAATAAAGTTTCTATCCAGGACCAGAAAATTGCCTTGGGAAGAGGTGGGGCTGCAGTTGGGTTTTGTTCTCCTTGCTCCATCTTCCACCCCACATCCCTGACATCCCCCCTCCCCTCACAATTCTGTCCCCTCCAGAGATGAGCGGGCAAGGGAGGAAGACTGAGAACATGCCGAATACTGTCTGTGTCCGGAGTTGTTTTCGCCCTCTGTCAGTGCCCATCATGTGGCAGATGCCCAGAGGCGGGGTGTGGGGGGCCTTTGTGGGCATTTTGGGGTCTCTGGCCCTGGTTTTTACTTTGCCCAATTCCCTGATGCAAGGGTTGCCTTTCCAGCCAGGCTGTCTTGCCTGGGTGGGCAATCCCGCAAGGGGCCCCCTCTCATGAGCACCGTGTCTCCCTCCGCGGTGTCCATCTGACCCCTGGAGGAGGTCAGGAAGGGAGGCCTCCGCCACTGCCGCCCTCTCCCCTCCCACGACACTGCAGACTACTTCATCTGGCATCTGCACCCGCAGACTTCCCTGGGGGGAGTCAGGCCCCAGGGTCCATTCTCCCCGAATGCCAGATGACATGCATCTGGGTGTCCTGAGGATGTCTTCTGTGCACCCTCAGGCTGTCCTGGTATAGGAAGCTTAGCGTTTAGCCAGCGTCCAGCCAGGGAGAAAGGGCCAGCTTCCTCCTTGGCAAGCACTATCCTCTGTTGCGTTGAGTGTCATCTGAAGCCACTCACTCAGCTTAAGAGTGGAACTCTTGGCTGGGCGCAGTGGCTCAAGCCTGTAATCCCAGCACTTTGGGAGGCCGAGGCAGGTGGATCACGAGGTCAGGAGATCAAGACCATCCCGGCTAACACGGTGAAACCCCGTCTCTACTAAAAACACAAAAAATTAACCAGGCGTGGTGGCGGGCACCTGTAGTCCCAGCTACTCGGGAGGCTGAGGCAGGAGAATGGTGTGAACCCGGGAGGCGGAGCTTACAGTGAGCTGAGATCACGCCACTGCACTCCAGCCTGGGCGACAGAGCAAGACTCCGTCTCAAAAAAAAAAAAAAAAAGAGTGGCACTCTTTATTCATTATTTATTACCTCTTTTAGAGATGGGGACTCTCACTATGTTGCTCAGACTGGTCTTGAACTCCTGGGCTCGAGCAATCCTCTTGCCTCAGCCTCCTGAATAGCTGGGACTACAGGCGTGCACCACCACACCCAGCTAATTTTTACTAGAGATGGGGTTTCGCCATGTTGCCCAGTCTGGTCTCGAACTCCTGTCCTTGAGTGATCTGCCCATCTCAGCCTCCCAAAGTGCTGGGATTACAGGCGTGAGCTACCGCACCTGGTCAAGAGCAGAACTCTTTCAATAAATCCTCCCCCGAGCATGACTTCTATGCAAGCAGGCGGGGGCCACGTAGGATAGCCCCGTTCTCTCTCGCCGCGTCCTGAAGGTGTGCTGGCACCTCTCTTGAGGTGTGGGCGCTGCTCATCCCTTGTTCTCAGCCTCGGGTCTCTGCGGAAATTCCTGAAGACGAGAAAGTCTTGTCATTCTCTTCTGCACATGCTCTTATTTAGTCCTCTCAATGGACACTTTTGTGAGGAAGGTTTTTTCTTTTCATATTTTATTTTATTTTTTGAGACAGAGTCTCTCTCTGTTGCCCAGGCTGGAGTATGGTGGTACGATCTCGACTCACTGCAACCTCCACCTCTCAGGTTCAAGCAATTCTCCTGCCTCAGCCTCCCCAGCAGCTGGGATTATAGGTACCTGCCACGAATGTTTTTTTTTTTTCCAAGACAGGGTCTCTCTCTGTCACCCAGGCTGGAGTGCAGTGGCACGATCTCAGCTCACTGCAAACTCCACCTCCCGGGTTCAAGCAATTCTCCTGTCTCAGCCTTCTGAGTAGCTGGGATTACAGGCCTACGCCACAATGCCTGGCTAATTTTTGTATTTTTAGTAAGATGGTGTTTCGCCATTTTGACCAGGCTGGTCTCGAACTCCTGACCTCAAGTGATCTGCCTACCTCGGCCTCCCAAGGTGCTGGGGTTACAGGCATGATCCACCACACCCAGCCACACTTATGCCACTTGACAGGTTGGAAAACTGAAGCCCACAGATAGAATCAGGTAAATAGTGGGACAGACAAAACTCCAACACAGGGCTGGGTGCAGTGGCTGACGTCTGGAATCCCAGTATTTTGGGAGGTCGAAGTGAGAGGATCACTTGAGCTCAGGAGTTAGAGAACAGCCTGGACAACGTAGCAAAACCCTGTCTCTACAGAAAATTTAAAAATTAGTTGGACATGGAGGCACATGCCTGTAGTCCCAGCTACTGGGGAGGCTGAGGCTGGAGGATTGCTTGAGCTTGAGAGATAGAGGCTGCTGTGAGCTCTGATCATGCCACTGCACTCCAACCTGGGTGACAGAGCAGGACCCTGTCTCAAAACAAACAATCACACAACCTCCAACTTGGCTGTGATGCCTCCAAAGTCTGTGTCCTTCATAGTGTACTGAACCAGAAACAGAGCTGGGCACACCCCAGGCACTAGTAAATACCTTAATGCTTATTGACTGAGGGAGGGGACCATCACTTCTGGCTGGTGGGAGCTGATGGGGGCTGGTGGGGCCTGACCTCGCAGGGAGGCTGAAGCCCAGGCAGATGGAGGCCCCATCAAAGCTGTCCCTGTACCAGCCAGCTGGAGCTGGGGGCCCCCTGCCAGCCCTGCTTCTGCCACTGTCTTGGTTGGTTCTGGGAGGTGGCTCCTTGGCTGTGTTTCGGGGACACAGCTGCCCCCCTCCACCCCCGGCACCCTGCAGCCTGGCGCATCTCCAGAGCTGGTTGGCTCGTCTGGAAATGACATTGTGTCTTGGCCGCCAAAGCCAGCTGGAGAAGCTCTTCTTCAGGCCTGCCCTGGGGATTGGGACTGAGGGGCAGAAAGGCGGGCGGGGCTAGAGTGCATCCATCCTCTGGCGCTGGGAAGCTGCTGGGTCTGGCATGGTACCCACCGATGCTGAGCCTCTGTGGCCAGAACTCTAACCCTCCAGAGGTGCTGCCATCCCGCCCCCACCCCATGGCTCTGTCTGTGCCTCCGTAGAACTCTCGGATGTTCTGACCTCAGATTCAGGCTCCAGTTGC